TGGTATGAGGTACATGCGTACAGTGAACAAAACACATGCGGGAATGCTACATGACTATGAATCGTAGAGTGAAATTTTAAGTTCACGTTTAAAAGAGATGTAATCTCTAAAAGCATCTAAAGAAGATTTCGATGAAATTTCATTAAAACAGAGCTGCATACGGGTGGTCGGACAGAGCTTCTCCTGTGAATCAGGATAAAACAAGCATGCGTGTTGGTTGAAACGTACCGGAATATGAAAATTAAAAGAACATACCAAGCTGCTATCTATCTGGCCATGAATTATCTTATGCATCAGTAGTAAATCTCTCGCAGTTCTTCGACTTGGTAACTTTTGTAAACCGCGATTCCCGAGTATGTAGGCATAGTCGTAGTAGCACCTACGTTGAAAGTATCGGTCGTAAACAATTCTAATAAACCTCTTCTGAACATTTTCCATCTGAAAAAGCATCCGTCATTGTAATAGAATTCCACGCAACACTTGCAAACTCAAGCCGCGAACGAATAAGGCTAGAAAATAATCGAATAATACATATTGGGTTTGAAAACTCTCGGGTTAGTCGCGAGATCATGCCGAGCAACCTTATAGGTGAACCCACAATCTGAGAGACATGATGAGAAAAAGAGAGATGACTGTCGAAATAAACACCGAGGTCACGAACCACTGACACACGTAATATAACAATAGAATCAATAAAATAGTCGTTAGAAATCGGCTCCCGTCTTCTACACATTGATAGCACTTTCGTTTTATCGGGATTAATCAACAAAAAGTTTGACGAACACCATTCCTGCACTCGTGACACATCGTCCTGGAGAAGTTCACAGTCAGCGACTGATCGGACATTCAAAGTAACTTCAGATCATCTGCAAATAGCAACAACTGCGAGTTCTTTACGCACAATACAACATCATTAATGAATATAAGAAACATAAGTGGCCCCAGGTTAGCCCCCTGTGGGACACCGGACGAAGGAACAAACGTTTCAGAAAAACTGTCACCAATTCGCACACTGCTTTTACGATCAGTAAGATAAGACTGAAACCACTCGGTAAGTACGGGAGAAACACCATACAGAGAGAGCTTACGCAAAAGTAATTTATGATTTGCTCTGTCAAAAGCTTTGGACATGTCGAAGTAGACGGTATCAACTTGACTGCGAGTGAGAACAAAAGGAACATAATATTGAAGGAACGAACAGAGGTTCGTTTGCACCGAACGACCCTTCGAGAAACCATGCTGCAGGGCGCTTAGCTTATGCCGAAAGTAGTAAGACAGTCGGGCATGGATAACTATCTCAAAAACTTTAGAAAAGACACATAGTAAAGAAACCGGTCTGTAGTTGTTTACCTCAGAAGCGTCACCACTTTTGTGGACTGGTACGACAATCTAACTTTTCCACAGGGACGGGAATATACACAGTCGGCAAAGAAAGGTTAAAAATGTGCTTCAAAACAGGCGCAAATAACTGTCCGCAGCCCTTAACGACAAAGCTCGGTATCTGGTCAACGACCACTGAAAACTTTGGCTTCAGTTTCATTATCGCTTCCAAGACAGATGGCGGCAGCCACCCCTCCGAATTAAAAGGGAAAAACCCCGAGGCTGCTCGCGCCCAGCCATTCTAACTAGGCAAAAAGCTCTCGGCGCCAGGGCCATTAGATTTTCGCGCAGTAAAGGGAGGTTCAAACCAACAAATATTTCGCTTAAGTGCGACAGAACACGTAAAAAGCGCGCTGCATGTGCGATGCTTTGCTGCAGACTACATCGAAATACGATAGCATTTCAACGTTTCTTTAATGAGGACCATATTTAACTCATTAGGACGAACCTAATTCCCTCACTGAGCCGTTCGTCGTAGCAGGACAAACTCATCTTGCTTCTCTGTCCCTAAACAAAATGTTGCTTCCTCTTTTCCGGCGTCTGATTGACACGTCGAACACGCTGAGCCTCAGTGGGCCGCCGCGTCTCTTTAGTTCTCTTCAGACTTTATGCAAGCGTGTCTTCTATCATATGACGGATAAATGAATGGATGGTATTGGCTATACCGTTTGAATCGGATGGTAGCTTGCGCCACCTGGCCTCTAAACATTTACACCTCTACCCTTTAAATTTTGCTATAAATTCAATTCAATTTCCCGTAATAACATCTACCCCACCAATTTTCGGTATTCTTACACTTCTCTACACCTTCAACACTAATATTAAACCTTTTTTCGTGATTTTAATCCTTCGTTACTTTGTTCTTCTATCCTCCCCAGCAAAACTTGGAGCTTCCTCCATATCGGTTACCCCTTCAGGGAGGGCAGTTGGCGAAACCCCGTGCACTTTAAAACCACCTGTTTTAGACTTTCTCTGTCACTATGGCATACGACACACTTGTTCCTTTTGAAATTTGGCCCAATATGTCTTTGCCCTTAATACTCCCGGTTCCACCTTAAACAGTAAGAGCTTTCCCATGAATCATCAAAAACATGTTTGTCATAACCTGTTTTTGTGACCTGTACATTGCTAAACCTAATTTCTCTCGCATTCTTCCCTCACACATTTTTATTTATTATTTTTTTTAGCGTCTTATCCACTAAACTAGTGTTCTTAGCCCCATCACAGTTCTGTAGGTATTTAAATGTCAACTTTTCGGTTCGGTTCGTTCATTTTGTGTTCAATGTTTTCACGCATAATTGCTCGTATACTTTCTGTATCCCACATTTCTGTTAACATTTCTTGAAATTCAATTTACCAACAGCTCCTCTGCTTTCAAAGGACGACCAGCCTGTCTCCCTGTGCCCCTCCTTTGGTGTGTTCTCATACGCTCTCAGAGACATTCTGCCCACGCTTCGTCGAAATTCCATTTTATTGTTGGAGTCTGTCCTCACGCACAATACCCCATTGCCAAAGATGGGAAGAAAAATGAGGAAATTAGCGATAGTAATAATATAACAAACAAACAAAAAATGGTTAGTGATAGTATTTCGAAACAGATTAGGGTCAGTGATGGTAGCAATTAAACAGTGGAGGTGGTTCCATTCCTGTGCGGTGCGAGGAAGAAATGATGAGTGAAATGCAGTTGTGAATGTGCTTGGGATTCCAACTTTATGCTGATGATCAAGAGAGAACGAAATGTAAAAAGGGGACAGTTATCATTTTATCTTGTAAGATGAGATTATGAGAATACATTTTGTGAAATAAACATAAACTAGAAGTTTTACGGCGTAGAGAGAAAGATGGTTAAGATAAACAAATTTCCATCGATGTGTGTATTCCCTAAATGTTTTATTTTGTAAGAGATTAATGGCAACATTTTGGGTAAAGCTATGTTTGTACTTTTTTTCGTAACTGATCTGCTCTAGTTCGCAACATTTTTATTTTGTGAGAAGAAGTTCAGAATGTCGATCAAATGCTGGGAAAACTATTACAAATGGCGTTTTGATTCTGAGAAAACACCAACCTATGAATTCTGGCTATGAGGGGATAACTGAAATGGGACATTCGAGTTGGTCGCGTTTTAACGTCTTTGTAAGCCTTGACGTCGCGCCAATCAAATGCGCACGCCAAAAAAAAAAAGTTTTTTTTTTTTTTTTGCATTTGAAGTTGCAGTTTAGTTTGGAAACTTGTAGAAAGGGGTAACAAACTAATTTCAGAAAGGCGAGGGGTGGGGGAGAGAGGGGGGTATATTCCACCTTGGAAAAGTTGAGAGACAACGCGGGGTAAAGAGATTTCACAGAGAAGGGACCTTGCTCTTTGCTTTTTGTAAACTTGCAGTTTCGCCAGTGGCATCTTTAGCTTTGATTTGTCTATACAACTGTTTTGGTTCCTTGCCTGATGTAATAAACTAAATAAATTGCACCGCCCCACGAACATGCTGCCATTTTCTAATAGAACAAGAGGGCACACGCACTGTCGTTACCTTGCTCAATTCACTCGTGAATTTGTAAAACTGAACGTATTTAAATAAAATTTCTTGATTCAACTGTCTTCGCTTTCCTGACGATTTGTATAGCAACATTGTGAGAAAAAAATACCGTACGTACTTGTATTTTAATGGCAGTAATTTTTAAAAGGCAAAAATCCTGATATTATAGCTTTATCTTTGGCATTTGTACCTGCTGAGCGAGAGTTCATGCAGCCGACGCGTATCCTTGAGCGAAGAGCTCGCGCTTGCAGGGTGATTTGCAAGACAAGGAGCTGGGACGCAAAACCTAAACCGACACACAAGGCAAAAAAAAAAAAAAAAATTGGAGTGTGGGTATGTTTATAAAGCCTAGAACTTGGTCTGCCTCAACGACCGACGAGTCTCCCAGCTGCAGATGGGAAATTTAGCCAGTGCAGTACAACCGCTAGCTTGGGTCTTTACGTGCACCACGCAGTAGTGATACACGAACGCACGCCGGTACGATGCTCATCCAGATCGAAAGGGGCAGGGGTGGGGATCGGACCCAGGATCCCTGGGTTCTTCAGCGCGAGCTTTCGCTCCACGTGCTCCGAGCTGGTGTACGCTCACCCAATCGGCCACCGATCTCCCTTCGAATAAAAAAAGAGAGAAGCGTATAAACAGTGCGAATACTTTATAGGAGCCGAGCTACGTTTCGAGCGGAAATAAATCGGTGAAGTAATATCTTTATGGCGCATGCCCTTTTTCGCGCTCGTGGCATGGGTACGGGGCTCGTAGGCGGTTGCCCTCAGGCCACGTCCCAGCGAGTTGCGGGCCGTATGCGGTCCGAGGGCCACGTGTTTAAAGGGGCCCTCCGGAGCGTTCTGCGATGGTCTATATATGGCGGTAACTCAATCTATGGGTCCTAAGGATCCTAAAAATCGTAAAATTACAGTCATGCGCGGCGGATTTCCCTATTAAAATTGCTATCAAAGTCCCCGGCACGCCCCCCTTTCTGAGATGACCCCGGAAAACGGGAGGGGCATCTCTTTACGCATCAGCCAATGGCAATCGAAGGATTCCAGTGTCACTGCGCGTCACCGACCGCCGACCCGCGGAGGAATCTCTCCAACGCGCGGACCGTCGTCAAGGGGCCCGGACCAAAGTTGCCCGGACTTTGTGCTCAGCATTCGTCGTTCGTCGCATCCCACGGTCGCGCTATGGACCTTTCGGACCTAACGTCTCTAGAGCTCGAAATCCTGGAACGGACAGCTGACATGGGTGCCATATCCTACGATTCGACCCCGATGCGCGACGTCGACGAACGCAGCGCCGCGGGCACCGACTGTGGCAACGACGAACGGCCGCGCCGCGGTGAAGCGAGTCCGCAAGAGCTGGAAGACGCACCCGACGATGGAACCGGGCGGCTTGGGAACACGGACTGGTACGTGGTGCGCTCCATTATACCCCGCTTTAATGGGTAATTGATGCGTGTTTTCTGCGAAGGTGTCTATGTGGTTCCTGCGCGCCGATGGAGACCGTCGTCGAGTGCGTCTGCTGCCGCGAATACCCGGCCGTCGCACGGAAGCAGCAGGGCCGGCAGGGCTGCGTAACGGGCCACCCGGACTTCGAGGCCCTGTGCCTCAACCCTGAGGTGTTGAGGTTGGCCTACCTCAACATGCGGCACTACGGGCAGCAAGGGATGGGCGCAAGTGCCAGCGAGTGAGTACGATGTCATGCTTTGCGCGTGAGCAAACTCACCATGTCTCGGTGAGGACCGTGCCCTCGGCAACTACGTTCACTGTCCGATTCACAGCGTACATACGTACTTGTAATAACTTGTTGTTAGGCTAGATGAACGTTTAGCACCATCCTGGGAAGCGGTCGATGAATTGTTTGTGTTGCCGATAGTGAAATTAATCATAACCCCCACTGTCCAGGCGCAATATAGCGCTCCAGGGAGGCTTTCAAGGGACTAAATGAGAAGCAGCCTGCCTAGTTACCACCCAGTCATTTGTTCAATACAGAAACACGGACACTTCCAACTGCTGTCCCACTATAAACTACACATATTCTTATATGTTCTAAACGAACTGTTCTGACGAGACCGCCCTTTTCGAGCGTTACACTTCTTCCCGTTAGGCCAGATCATGGAGAGCTATTTTTCCTTGCATTTACGGTTATCAGTTTAGATATGTCATTTTCTTGCTCTGTTTAGATGCAATGTTATGCAACAATAGCACTATGAAATATATGACAGTCACATGGCCTCGTCTCTAGTCGAGACGGCCTCGTCTCGTCGAGAGCAATAGAAGGCGACACCTTGGATGTACATATGCTTTGGCGTTGTCCCCATGCCCAATGCTCCCTTACCTCCCTCTTTTTCACCCTTCTCGACCCTCTGACTAGGCAGGCTGGCTCACCCCCCCCCCCAGCTTCAACTCGTTGATACACTACTGCTCCTACTGGTACAGCATGTCCATGCTGTACCGGGTGAGCACTGGTGGCCCCAATCAAGCACCGGACTATGGTGTAACTAATAAAGGTTCCCTCTCTCTCTCTTTCTCTGTCTCTCAAGAGAGCAGTGGATATCCCACACGTTTGGCTTTGGCGCAAACGACAAAGATAACGCAGTCCGTGTCAGAAACCCAAGTCTGGCTTGCAGCTTGCTCAAATGGTGTCTCTGAACAGAGCCGAATTAGCGCCTGAAGCCCCTCTACAAGCTCGCAGAGAGCAGGTGGCCGCAAAGGCTTGAAAGTCCTACTTTGTCAACGAGAGGCGAAGATTAACTCACTCCCGAGATTGTATTCGTCTCATGCAGTTTCCTTGCTTTTCTGTCTTAGCATAACTCAACAAAGGGTGAAAGCTACTGCCCTTGTGGGCCAGTCTGAGCGACGGAGCTAAGCACGTGCCAAAATTCCACAGGAGGAGTACTTGAAGACATTACGTTGTCACATGCATTGTTCTTACACGCCCCGATTGGCTTGCTGATGCCGTAGCTTTTGCATTTTCCCAAGTTCGGAAAAACGAAGAATTACTGTTTCCAGATTCTTTCCTGCTAGCTTCATGGACTGGACCAGCACTATGCTACAGAACAACACTTTTGAAGCAACAAATAAATAAGCACGAAGTTATCATATTGACGCAGTAATTCGCAACCGTGTTGGGGAAGGATGCTCCAGTCACTTTGTTTCTCAGAGCTAAGAGTTCAGAAAACTGCATACACCTACTTTATCTTGCATGCACCAATGCCTTGTTGCTATCTTAAAAATGAGCTTAGCAAGTGCAGCTAAGTTGATGCTGGGCAATCTTTTTGAGAAGAAACAAACACCAACTGCTTCAAGTGCACTGTCAACGTCGACAGTACAGTTGGCACCTTCAGCTCAGACATCCTCGTTTTTTTACCTGGTCTAGTCTCTGCGTGTGACCTTCAAGCCCATCAAAACAGGGGCCGATATCAAAATGACGAAAATCAAAATGTAAAGGCCAAACATTGAAACGTCGAAAAATAAAATGCCGAACAGCAAAACGCCGAAAGGTGAGAATGCGTACATATCTGATCGCCATATTTGGTACGGTATTGGCAGATGCTAGCTGCACCAGTGTGTTGGAATCATGGAAGTGTCTTCTGCAAAATTAGGAGCATGAAAAATGTGCAAGCTGCGCTCGAAGACGATATCGAGGCAGAAATCAGATTAGAACCTCGCCATCTACCACACAAGAAGCAAAGCATGCGAGAAGAGAGCCTGACAGCCGCTTTGGGCAACTGGGACAAGCTCAACATCCTTAGCTTTCTTTGGGAAATACACACAAACTATTAGATCATATTCAACAAACAAAGAATTCCTCTGGCAGAACAAATGTTTCTTCCACTTTCTCAATCTAGAACCCTGTAGGTTCGTGTTGAACATAATATTTTGGAATTGTTTGGTCTCTGGTACCGGGTGATTCGGCTAATAGAGATTTCGGCGGTTTGTTCTTTCAGCATTTCGATAATGCATCCTTTCAATTTTTGGGTGTCCCAAGCGAGTGCAATGTTCTCTGGTCAAAACAATCAAAAACTTGAGAACGATGACATAGGCACAGATTGCTGTTGAGTCCATGGATGCCACTACGTCTTTCCTCTAGAAGGCAAGTGGAGACTTATATTCCAACCCTATCGGCAAAAGTCATATTCTTTACTCCAGTATCCAAATTGTCAGAAGGGGCTTTAGACGGTGTTTGCATGCTTTTTGGTCAAGAAACTACACAAAAAGGCAGTCATTGAAGGCTCATTGCTCTGGTTCGTGCACCGTTTACAATGCAATGGCAATGCGAACTAGAAACCTTCCATTCGCCCAGCGATGCAAAGTATCCCCCCTCCCCCCCCCCCCACACACACACCAGCAATGTAAAACACCCCCCTGAAACAAATTTCTGGCTATGCCACTGCAGGCCATGCACTCAAAAAAAAAAAAAAATTTCCTCCTTCCCATACTATAATTGTCAAGGCAGTGCAGCCATATGGGGGGCGTACCATACTGATTTACGATTTATTTTTCCGCAGATATTGTCCACTTAGGGGTCGGTAGGTGTGTCGACCTCCTCAACGTAGTCCCCCTGGAGACGAACGCACTGGTTCTAGTAGTGTGGCAGCCTTTCCGTTCCGAGACCACTCTTTGGAAGTGCTTCGCACCCACGCCTGGACAGCCGCTTCGAGTTCACCAGTGTCCATGAAATAGGGTCCTCATAGGTGGTTTTTTTCATGGTGCTGAATGGCTGATGGTCACTGCGGGCTAGGTTGAGGGAGTACGGTGAATGTAGGGATGGGCATTGTCATGCTGCAAGAGCGTACCTGCCGCCCCTTTCCCTGGCAGCTTCTCGTGAATCGCGCAATCACCTGAGGGTAGCCACATACGGGGCGATGTTGATGGTGGTGGCCGGTTACATGCAGTCAATGAGCATAATGCCCTCCGTATTCAGAAAGCCACGCGAGGATGTCTTTGCGGACATTGATGACTCGGAGGCATCTGTCCAGGCGTGGCTGAGACACACTTATAAACAGTGCAGGAATGTGATTGCTGCGCCAATTGCGCCAAACTGCACCAAGGGGCTAACTTTGCTACATCCTGCTACATTTCACCGAAATATGGCTAATCCGTGCCAAGCCTGCGCCAAAGAAGCAATTTTGGTCGCCTTTCATAAACGAAACGAAACTGAGAACCGTAATTGAGCATGCGTAAGCTAGGTCGCACAAGACGCCACCCGACACAAAGTACCCTATATTAATCGTCTATTTGGTCTTGCATGATTTTTCCCCACGTCTCGCGTTTCGTGCACTCGTCGTCTCAGGAATCTCGTCTCGCGTCTTTTTTTTTTTTTAGCGGTAGACACGGGCGTGTGCGGACTCTCAGACGTTAGTGTATCGGGTGCCAAACATGCCGTCATGCTGTGAGACAAAACCACGTTTTTGCGCGGCGGGAGTTACTTTTTGAGCTGAAGCGCTCGCGCGACGTCGTGTGTTGCCGTCCCCACGTCGCTGCAGATATGGCGCTTACTAAACTGAAACGCATCGACATTCCTGCTCTTGTTTAAATCATACGCTGCTATAAAAATCCCTCTCTAACTCAATGACTGCTTGGCAAAGTTTTGATTACTTAGGTTTTTCCTGGTGGGCTTTCTTTCGAGAGGGACCCCGGTACGTGAAAAATCTGCCGCAAAAGAAAGTTGGTGAAGAGAAGTGAGCTAAAGCAAAGAAGGCAATGTCTGCACGCTGAACCCGCACAGCGTGCTTGTTTGTCTCGAGTTCAGTCGTTGCACGAAGCGCTCCAAGAACTTTTTTGACCTTGATTCGCAGTGTCTTGCATCGATACGCTCAGGTTCTTTTTTTCTGTGATTTAGCCTGTACCTCGCCTGCCGGCCTGGCAAGCACAAGTCGCTGGACTGTTTATTGTCGTATGCTGGACAGTTACATTTTGCATACTATTTTGGGAACCATGCAGTTGGCGACGGAGCGCGGAGTGGCATGGTTTCGGTTTCGGTCGAACAGCCGTTGTCTCCGCCCGCGCGACGAAGCACGTGTAACTGCAAGCCTGCCGAAGTTGCCCTTACGTGCATGTGAACATCATTGCAACCAAGGCACCAGCCGGGACGCTTGCAATGCGTTGTTTTACGTTTGCTTACTTTTTTTATAAAAATCTGCCACGTCAAGAATTTTGGCGGTGCCAGAAGAGTCCATGTGCGTATGGCAGCTGCCTAATTTGCTGTGCCAAGAGCTGCACAATAGTTTGTGCTCACTTGATTGTCACAAGGGGGGACGCCACAACAGCCACACTTGCATCTGCTCGTTTTCTCTGTCGTAACTTTGCCGGCATCTGACAGCATGACACTTTGGCTCCCGTAACATATTTTGTTGCCACTTTGGGACGGCTTTTGGTCCATGGGAGGTATATAGGGCAGTAAACACCCCAGTCAGAGACATGTCAAGGCGTCCTGCCCTCCAATCCTTCCTAGCTTCGATCCCTTAATCCCCTGATCTAGTTGAAAAGCCAAAATCTCAAGGTGGGGTGATAATTATTGGGTGTCTGGGTCTTGATTTACACTATTTTTGGATGCAGATACCAGACACCCTGAAGCCGGTGGATGATCATCTCGACATGTTCCTTGTGGTGCCAGCAACACTTGCACCGCTGGTGTGGCATTCTTTGCACGCTATGCTGGGATAGTTTTTTAGGGGTGCCATGTCTGGACAGCTTATTCAGAAGCAGGCTGTCGTCGTCGAGATCCATGCTTTTTTTTTAACGGATGATGTTGCAGTGCCCACATGGGTGAGTATGACAGAAAGGATTCGAGATTGGAATAGGTCACCAAACAGTATCGCATCATTTTTCGTTAAAATATTTTTCTAACAACACTATTCATTGAAATAAACACTGAAATTCAAAGTTTCTCGTGCAAGAATGGGGAGGCCTGGGGGTGCTCATATGTATCCCCACTACTCTGATGATAGTAGTGTCACCTCTAAATCAACACAGCATAATGGAAGACATATCGCAGTCTAAAACGGGAAAAAATGTTGATATATGTGTCTTGCAGATGCGTATATGACCAAATAGCAAATGATTGCGGTGCCCTGAGCCCTAAGGTATTCAGGACCAATAAACACATGGGGGTGGTAGCAGCTGTCATGGCAAATGGAAGCTGTCAGAATGACATGTTCGGATATTGACACGGATTGTGTCGGAGAGACATGAAATCACAACTGCTGGAGCCACTCCAGTATTGCATGAGCACTTCAGCTCGTATGTTTACACCAAAACTGTTCTGTGCGAGCTTCATAGAACACTCATGGCCAGGCTGCTATTCTCAAATCCCTAATCACCAGTACCAATGCCAAGCTTCGGCAGTGCCAGCAGCACTTTAGACAATGTTAAATTGGGACGTTCTCTGATGAGTTCACATTCCCTGGCACTTGTGTGCAGGAAACCTTTGCAGTAGGTGTGTGCGAATATTGGTTCAAATTGAATAGTATGTTTGCCATAACCTTTGCGCTGCAAAGGGAAGCCGATGCAACCGGCTCTTTTTGCGCTGTTGATGCTAGAAACGACAGTGCACTATTTGATTCAAACCAATATTTGCACACCACTGCTTTACAGGCTTACGAACTGCACTGTTTTGTCCCAAATTAAACAACATCATATGGGGAGCTTTCCACTGTTCTGGATGAATGGCTCCCATTCCCTCTGGCCAGTGCACATAATTTTCATGTGTCCTTCCCAAAACACAGCGATGCAATATTCGTCACCAACACCAATGACAGATATTATCTACAATTGTGAACTGGGACCCTGTGAACTTATTTTATGTATCATGACCACGCAACAGATATTCCTTCCTTGTTAATTCCGGTGTATAACTGGTTGTTGTGTCGATTGGAGTTGGAGGTGCGTTAGGAGAACCAAGGCCTATAGTTTTTTTTTTTTTTTTTAAACTCTGGAGCATTTAGAATGAATCTACAGCAGTTCACTTCAATTTGGCTTCCATGTCTAGCCCATCCGACATGGACTGCCAAATAGGGATTCTGCTATGTGATAGCTGGAGTGGACGTAACAGAAAAGCAGAGTATGATTACATGCCTAGAGAAATGAAAACAAGTGTAGAATTTGCCAACAGAGTGATAGGCTTTGCTTCTTACATCCAATCTCTGTCATTGTTCCAGGCACTACAGATTTGCAGCCTACAGGCAGTGTGCCCTGTGGCTGTGGAGCCGCTTGGGAAAGAAGAATAGGCGGCCCCTGCCATCCTGTGTTGTCAAGACAATTAGGGGCAGGTACCCTGCTGACGTGTATGCGGGCTACAGGGATGCAGAATAAATTGCGTTGACCTAGAGACCACGCAACCCCCTTCCCTTGTCTCTTCACCCTCCCTGCATGTGTGTGAAGTCGCTCGTAGCCATGAACGGAATCCTCTAAATCACGTGACCTATTATCTACGATATCACGTGACCATAACTATGATCACATGATCGTAGTCAAACCAAAGCCAGTGCACCTACGTCACATTCAGTCACACGACGAAGCCGCCTCGGTGGCTCCGAGGCGAGAGTGCCGGCCTACGGATCCCCATGTGGCGGGTTCGAATCCCGGCCGAGGTGCCTGCAATCTGATAGAGGTATATTGCGGAGAAGGCAGCTTGGTAATCGAGCTTTCGATTGCACGTCAAAAGATCCCCAGGTGGTCGAAATTAATCCTCGGTCCTCCGCTGGGGCGTGCCAGATGCCCGTCGTTGGTTTGGCACGTAAAACCCCCAAATTTGATTTGAGTCGCACGACCGGATTGCTTCATTTTCCTCCTAGAATCCAAAGGCTGTCATCAAAACTACTAGGGCGTGAGAAGTGCTCATTTGGAACACTAACCTAAGCAGTAAAATTTGGCACCCACTAATACCATTTTAAAGTAAAGATAGAAAAAGCACCGATGTCATGTTCGCACTAACAGTGTTGTGCAGTGTACTTCTATTTTCTTCTGGATCTGTTCTTTCAAATGGAAAAACTGCATATAACATGGAAAAATCTGACTGCATGAAGCTACAAGATGCTTCCCTACATCAGCCGTCTGAGCGTGCCGGTGCGATGAGGCGAAGAAAGGCGAATTGCGATTGCTGCAGTTTTCAGAGGGACGTGGTCGATTGTTCCGAGGGTCTGGATGACGACGTGGCTAACATGACAAACAAATGACGTTCTGCTTGGGTGACTATAGTCCACTTCAATGCAGCGAACGACGGAGAGGAGGTCGCCTCCTCTCCAGCATTCGCTCTACTAAAGTGGAAAGAGGTGGGAGGAGCTTCCACTTCGTTCTTGACCTGTCACCGACTATAGGCATGCTGTAAATTGTATTACTTTTTTTATTTAGAATTCATTGCCAACCTACATTTCATTACTGTACTCTCAACATGTGCTCTAGTATAGACTTTTCCAGTCCAAGCCTTCTGCGAAATCCTTTTTTTACTTGGCTGTGGAATGCTTTTTGAGCATGCACAATAGATCCCCTGCATGGAATATTCTATGCCTCCACAGCCCAGTTACCCTGGATTTTTCCTCCCGGTGGTAAATAGGATCTGCTTATATATTTCAGTGAATACTACGATTGTTAGTTTATATTGTCGTTATAATTGGCAAGTATACCCTCACATCATGCAAATACTTTGAGGAAATGGCACAATTTCGGTCGGGTTTTTAGTTAGGCATAGTGCAGTATTCTAGTTACATCGACCCATGTATTGACCTCACAATGCAGAAATCATCCAGGGAATCACAAAATTAGTACTACCATCGGCATCACTTGTTTTCAATTATGAAATTATTTCCTTTTGGTCATGCAAATTTCTACACCTTCCAGGTTCTGGTACCGAGAAGTCAAGTTGTTGGAAAATTAATGCAGTTTATTTCAATCGTAAGGTTAGCGAATGTGCCTCACTTATTTGCAAGCAGGTCAATAATGACAGAAGACAAATGTTGCAGACGGGGGGAAAACCGTGGTGTAGACTGGAAAATGCAGCACTGTTTTTAAATTGCCATAAAAAACTTCTGTTAATATTTCCAGTGTTATATGCAACCACCCCACTTATGTTATTGCTGCATTACCAGCCTACCTCCTGGATGAAAACCCCATTTATTGGAAACACGGGCGGGCTGCCCCGCCTCGGTGCAGTCTCCACAGCATGTCCGCTCATCAGCACATGAAAAGAAAGATGGATAAGGCATTGTGTTACAGTCTTCAGAAAAGTGTCGGTTGGGTTCCGAAAATACTTCAATTTTCTAAAACTGCTGCGATGGGCTAAGCTTGTGAACTGGGGATGGGATCTCTGGTGCAGAACTACATGCTATTCAAAATAGCACTTGATCCGCCTTCATTGTGGTGTGCCCACAATGAATATGACAATACGGTCACCGATTTCCTCGATCTTGAAAGCTTGCACAAATTATAGCTAGGATCCTGCGTTCTTGAATTTAATTTTTTTTTTTAGCAAAATTAGAGGGTGTTTTTTTGTTTTTTTTTGTTTTTTTGAACCATCAATTTGGAGCTTCCATTTATGTACGCAAAGTTCGGAGTCTTTCGGCATTTTCGATGAGGCAAATGAAAGGTAGAAAACAGCACTTTGGGAATTTAGTAAAGCAGTATTTTCATATGAGAGCGCCGTATTCATCTACTGTCGTAGAGGGCCTACCTCATTTTTATTATAAGGGGCTACATGGCAACGGAAGTTGACACTGCAATAAGAGGAGAATTGCAAAAATTGTTCGAAGATTCCGGGAAATATAAAGACTGGTGGGGGACCGAAAAATTGAGTTTTTCAAATGAATCTGAATCAGCAAAATTTTAACGGCTAGTGTTTTTTGGAGTTTATCAGGTTTATCTGAGAACGCAGAACCCTAATTACAGCTAATGGACTGGGAAGAATTATAGCACTGGCCTGTCCTCATCTCCTAATTCCTCTACTGTTGGCACTGATGTGCCAACAATAGAGGTGCACCATGCTGGGCTTGAAAAATCCGGCTTGAGAGGGCAGGTGCCAATGCTTGCATCTCTCCATTACGCTTGATCGTGGCCCTAAAATCAAGCATTATCAATAGAGGAGATCTGCATTTCTGTGAAAAATGATTGCACACAGATCTAATGTCCTCCTTACTGTCGGTCAGGGTGTCCTAACGGAAAACAATGATCTATTTTGCAGCTCGGCTGTTTTCTCTTGGGTCTGTCTGCTTGCATTCGCCGTACGTTCTGCAAAACAAAGCGGTTATTGCCTACCATGGTAGTTTTCATTAGGACGAGGCTCCTGTGTGCTTACCACTGGCAGCATGAAAGATAGAACCAGGTCTTTGCTTCCTGCTGCTGTCCACCTCGTTGACAGACTTTCCAGCCAACAGTGAAAATTCAGACTTGCATAATTACATTCCTAGACATTCCAAGTTGGGCTAGATGGGCGTTCACACTGAAGTTAGTGTCGTCCTCACCGCAAGTTGAGCTGTAGCCTTGAGTCTCGCTGTTTGGTGACTTTTCTGTGAGTCCGACATTGCCACCGGCTAAAGTTCCTTGCCCTCTTTTGAGATAGGCATGCCATGACCAGCTTGATTAGGCCCTAAAATGGAACATTCTCATGAGGAGAGATCTGTATTTCTGTGAAAAATGATTGCAGACATATCTAATGTCCTCCTTACTGTCGGTCAGGGTGTCCTAACGGAAAACGATGATCC